GTTCTCATGAGGTTGTGGGAAATGTAACTATAAATCCTTACATCACCTTATACGACTTCAACTGACTTTAGTTTTTATTATTAATTCGGTATGTTAATATGACATTGGATGAATTTTAATTTCGTGTGAGAGCGTGTGATTAGATTAGATTCAGGTATGGTGATCTCACTTTAAGACGACAGTGAATGTCCTCTGGTCTCTTGCCATTCTCCTTTACTCGGACTATCAGGCATACTTAGCGCTTGTAAGACTTCTTTCGGTCCTAATGATAACTTGCCGCAGGTTCGTCTGCTCCATGAAAGATTACTTCAAAGTTGGATGCCAGTCTTGCAGCACTCACGAACTTACATAAAATCAGCCGTGTCCAGGTGACAGCATATTGCCGCCAGGCCGTATTGCTTCAGATGGTAGATAATAATGTTGCTGTTGATGGCTAAAATGCGTTCGAATCTGGATACTAAATTCTATTTTGAGTCAGAGCCACCTGAAAGTAAATTGCTTTGTAAGACCAATTCTGAAATCCATCCATCGTTCCTTAGCTAATATTCATTGCTCCTAAAAGTTGATTAAATTACATATTCAAGATTTGCTGATCGTTTCGGAAGATGGTCATGCGCTAGACTGATAATCCATTGCATTTCCCGCCCTCCAGGCACGTTTGTTTTAGTTTTTTATGCATATCGCATCAATGCATAGGAAAAGACACAAATTGAACTAGGAGTAATGCAATATGCCGGAGCATAAATTTAGTAATTTTATAGACAACCAGAATGACCCGCTAACATAGCACCCAAATGATAAAAGTCCTATATTATTGTTAAGATTACTTCCATTTCGAGGAAGAGTGTTTGGTAACAAGATTTTCTTAACTCGTTAGCTTGGATATGGTTGTAAAGATGGTGATCCTATCCGATGGTGTACGTTTCTAACGAAATCGAAAAAGATTGCATCGGAAACAGCGTCAACAAGAATATGCCAATAAAGCCAACCGACAGTCTGTCAAGAGGGATCTGCTTTCATCTTCTGGTGGGATCAGCCTATGAATCACTTTACCTAATACGTTCACTCGAAATGGAAGTAAGCTCAACAATTATGAAACCCAACTATTCTTCGCAGTCCTATATTATCCGAGGGCACAATGAAATAAAAATGCAATTACAGCAATAAAAATGATATATCTTTTTTCTTCATATTAACTTTAAATATATGATATGATTAAACAATTTGACCTAAGAAAACTAAATTAATTCTACTCTGTATGTTGAAATTTCTTTATTTATTAATTCTGAAGGACGCCTTCAAGTCTCAATCGCTCAGCAATCCACGCCTCGATCCGCCCGGTTATCAGTCATCCGATCTGTATTCTCGCGTTGACTACTCCCTTATCAACTCTTCTCCATATTTCTCTTATTCGACTCATCCCTCATTCGTCGACATGGAAATGGAAGTTCCTTCCCTTTGTCCTGTCAGAAGCCTCCCGGTCGCGCCTTCGTTGTCCCTCATGCCTACGCTCTCAAACCCAGGCCTTGACGTAGAGACAAATGCAAATCAGCAGTTCGGCCATCATCCGACTCGAAAGTCCAAATCCCGCCGAGTTCGTAAGCAGGTGCACTCGTGCTCTAGACCTCCGGACCGTGAGATCTAATGCTTCATTTCGCCTGTCTGAGCAAGCCAAACTCGCATTCCATGTAAGTCAATATCGCCCAAAAAGACTCTTTTCTAGGGCCGAAGTATATATTTTTGCCCTGAAATGTGTTAGTTGAGGCTGTCAATATCACCATTCCAATCAATCTGCACCATCTGCCCAAAGAGCCTCCACATCCAGTCGTATTTTAGGAAGCAGTAAAGGTTAGTGTACCGGTCTGGCAGGGCTTTGATGTTCGAAATAGCTGGTCTCCTTCCTCTTCTCAGAGCTCAGACAGAAAGACACTTCTGTTGCAATGTTGCAAAGTTGTATTATTCTCGATTGTCTTTTGCGCAGTATACAAAAAAGAAAAGTGTACGTCTAAAGAATCTTTTGATTTTCAATTCCCTTTTGGAATTCCCCTTGGCTATTCGTTGTTGAGGCTTCATTGAAACATTCTGCTCGACGCTGTTCCTAAGGCGATCTCCTCGATTCATGGTCAAACCATTCTGAGTACTCGTCTATCATTTGACTGACATATCCTGAGCAAGATTTAATCATTATAACCAATTAAGGCTAGCTAATCAAGGAAAATTATCGGCTTATTTTGACAGGTGTTTAGTTTATTTCATATAATAATCTAGAGACAGGTGCATTTCTATGCTTGTATGTGCTTTTGTGCATTCATATGCACGTAAAAATGCAGCCAGCAATTCTAGCTCAAACTAGTTGCAGCAGAGCGTAATTTCCGTCCTCGGTCAACAAATTTTGATAACCTTTATGCGGCCTACATCCGATTATGCAATTCCCGACTGCTGATTAGGTTGA